TTTAACCTCTGTGGTGATGTTGGAGCGGTACAGGTGAGCAGGTTCAGGTGTGTGTCGTGGTCTCGGGGACAATGGAGGCCGATCGAAGGAGGAAATGGAAAGTTCCTCACAGGATGTGGTGGGGGTGGGGGTGGGGGTGGGGGGCGTTGGGACAGGATTTCCTCCTCTGAGACAAAAACAAGAGTCCAGATTCTCCGGACCAAAATAATCTGGTGGCTATTTCAGGACACGCAGTGGAAAAACACGGGAGAGGGAGCGGTAAATAATCGTAGTGACACCACCCACTTGTAGATTATTCTGACAAATAATCGGTTGAAACATGCCTCAAATCAGGCCCCTCCCCGGTATGGGGGCGCAAATTGCACCTTTCTTTTTTTGAGGTTTATTTTTGGGCTTTTTTGAGCCTTCAATGGAGATAGGACAGTGGATAAATTTATAAATCAGAGAGTGAGAGAGAGGGGAATGACATGCGGGAAAGGAGCCACAGGTGGGATTTGAACCTGGGCCGTCCGCTTGGAGGACCACAGCCTCCGTACATGTGGCGCGCACGCTAACCACTGCGACACCAGCGCCCTGCAAATCGTGCCTTTAACCGCCTGACTTCACTCGTCAGTGTGTAGCCATCTTAAACAAACAAAACAAGTCCAATCGAAAACAATAAACAAGTTCTATCTGTGGCTGAACATAACCTCTGTGTCTCAAATAAACATAATCAAGTCCTTTTGTTTCTCTAAATCAAGTCATTTGTTTGACTTCACCAAACGTTTCACTGAGTTAACAACCTGCCATTTATTGTTTTACTTCTCATCAAATGAAGCTTTATTTTGAAAGTCTAACCTGCCTCATTATTTGATCAAACCTTTTGCCACTTGAGTTGTTTTATTTTGATATCCACGTTGGTATTTTATGTTTATCTTCAACACAGAGTCCTGAATGTGCAGAGCTGCCTCTATAGAGGTTCGTAGAGCCGTTTATGATTTGTCTTCCAGTTTAATCCCTGAACCAGTTTGATTGTTTACATGAGGTCAGATATCAGGTCTGTGCAGGCGGCAGGAAGTTATCAAATTACTGTGCTGGAGGTAAACAGAGGCTGTGAGCTGTTAGCACAGAGAGGAGGACGATCACTGATGTAACCTGCTGTTGATTGAAGTTGTAACTTGATAGTGACGCTGTGTGAGCTGTTGTCTGTAACATCAGACAGTTTTGATCCTAAAGGTCCAATCAGTGAGCTGTGTAGTGAGATGATAAAGGTATCTTACTATCTGATCATTAAGGGAACATGCTATGTTGAAGTGCTGGCTTCTCTGACAACAATGCAGCAGCCAGTATGTCCTCCTTCTAGCTTTAGATTCTGCTCCTGAATGCTCTGGATTTGTTTGGACCAGAGAAGGTAGGCGCTTTTAAGGCACTCAAACCAACAGGTGTTGCAGCGATGGAAGCGGTCAAGAGAAGTGGTTCAGATAGAAGTGATTGTACCCGACCTAAAAAGCCTCTGCATGTTTCTAATAAGCTCCACGAGCAGAAACGTGCTCAAACTAGGATCAATATTGGAGATGCTTTTGAAAAATGGAGAGAGGTTAGAACACAGAAAGGTTTACAGACCCATGCAGAGCTGGATAAACACTGAAGCTTCAGAGTCCACCACATGGTGACCTGAGTGAGGGGGGGGGGAGACAGCTCTCTATGATGTTTAGAATTTAGACTGCAGTACCCATTTTAAACACTAGGTGTCAGAGTTACATATTGCTCCTTTAAATGGCGTTATTAATGAGGTTTAAACTATTCAGGCTTTGTGTTTGTACTTAGAAATGGTGAGTCAATCACCTGCTCCGGTTCTCTCTGAACGGTGTTTTGTGGTTTCATTATTTCTCTTTTCCAAACTACGTGAGAACACTGACAGTGGAGTCCAGGGTTGCATCTCAACGACCTCTTATGCCTCTTTGGCTTTTCCAGCCAACATCGGTCCCCGCCAAAACGCCAGCAGAAGAACAAACAGAAACCAGAACGCTTCAGAGTGTGACTTTGTGTTTTTCTGCTGAATCTGTAAGGATGACTTTGACATGAATCTAGATTTTTCTTGCTGATTTTCTCTTTAAAAAACTCCTGGACTGAAGGTTTTACGAAGAAGTTAAAGGTGGATTACTGTTGATTGTAACTCTGTTTAGATCAGGAAAGAGAAAACTTCTGCATTTCCGTGAAGTTGATCTTTTATTTGCTCTCTCTCTCTCTCTCTCTCTCTCTCTCTGACGTCATGGTCGAGCTGTTTGTAACCTCTGAGTTTTTCACAGTGACCTCCGCTGAGTTTGAACTTCCTGTCTGTTTTCTGGAAGCGTCGTCCGTCCTCTGATCGGTGACGTAGTCCAGCAGAGACTTGTGAGATTTACCCCGGATTCCTGAGGGCCGTGTCCCTCTCTCTCTGCTGATTTATGGCTCTCTTTACGGCTGCTGGTTATTTTTAGCTGCTGCTGCCACTGCCGGGTCTCGCTCCTGGTTTCCGGCAGGATGGAGCGGACAAAGTGGCGTCTAATGGAACAGCAGGGCCGAGGCATTCTTTCTTATTTTTTTCTTTTTACTTTCAGCTCTCGTGCATCGCGGATGAATAACCTCCTCCACGCTGTCCCGGTTTGTCTCCTCTGCTGTTGTTTCCTTTTTGTTCTCGCAGGAATGTTTGTCACACCTCCTGTTCCAGGAAATGTCTCAGATTCCAGATCTGAAGTCAGATTCAGGTTTTGTCTCAGACCTGAGGACCTGAACTGACCTTTCACCCACATTTAACTCGAGATAAATCACCTCCTGACGTCATAAATGACTGTACTCAGAGCGAAGACGATACAGAAGTGAGTGCAGGTGCAGAAAGTCCACGTCTAATCATCTCACAAGTGAATGATTAGAGAGACTAAATTGATGGACCTGCTGAGTCCTGACTCTGACTCCCGTGTGTTAAAGCGTCGGGGGGATTCCCAGGTGAAGCTGCAGGTGTGAAGAGGCTGAAAACATTCGTCAGCTGATCTGAGAGCTGTGAATGAGTTGTTTTTACACCTTTCTGTCCTCTGTGGAGTCAAAACGTCCTGATGCTTCAGCTCAACAGCAACGTCTTGTTCTCTAAATCAAGTTGTTTCCTACATGTTTCTTTGAGATATCCATCCACAGGAGAAGGCGGTGAGACGCAGACAAAAGCTGCGGATGAAGCTCATTAGTTTCTGTCTGCTCATGTCATCACTCTCTTTTTGTTGTTTCCTTAAATCATGGCTGTGATCCGCAGAGTTGTTTCTATACCATCGACACACTCAATACTGATGTGCAAATGTGCATTTGTCACATCGCAGGAAGTGCAATGTCAATCATACGACCTGAAACACGTCGTGCTGCTGTTGTTTTGGTGCTTAAGCTTAATGCAGAAAGAAAACTCGACAGTTTCTCGTCTTCTATTGTTAGATTGTAGTCTACTGGATGTCACTTTTTTGCAGTTCTTCACCACAGCACAGAAGTGCTGTTCAGAGTGCAATTACACAACAGCGCCACCAGGACGCTCCGCCATCATTACGCCTTCAGACATTAATATAGGTTCTGATCTGCAGAGCCAGCGAGCGGGGGAGCACAGCGCGGTGTGTGTGTGTGTGCATGTCTGACTCTGTGTGTGTATGTGGAGTGTGTATCATGTCATGTTCGTCTTTGTAACCTGCTACTGGATGCTTTGAATTTCCCTCGGGATCAATAAAGTATCTATCTATCTGTCTGTCTGTCTGTCTGTCTGTCTGTCTGTCTGTCTGTCTGTCTGTCTGTCTGTCTGTCTGTCTGTCTGTCTATCTATCTATCTAGCTACAGTATAAAGAACAGCTTTCAAAAACTCTCCTGTAGTTCTGACGGAGAATCATCAGTAAAAACAAACGACAGAGCGACCGACTTCTAAGACGATCGTCAGAAAATTCAAATCTCTGCTCTTCTGTGTTTTCCATCAAAGGAAAGTTTCATTCGCTTTGTCAGTCACAAGAAATGACTTAAAAAGACGTCCCTTTGCATTCCCAAGTCCCTGCTGACTGAGGAGGTCTTGGCCTGGTCCTGGACTCCTCGGCTTAGCTCGCCCGGATCTAAGCTCTGACCTACATGCAGCATCGAAGCTGGACGCCAGCCAAGTCCGTTATCCAACAAATAAATACTGACATGTGGGTCAGCCGGGTCAACGTGTCTTACAAGCCTGGACGTGGAGACGAAGAAGACAAAACAAAGAATAAAGGATACAACAGTTTAGAAGTTGAACATGAACAGTAGAAGAACGGAAAGATACAAAACAAGGGAAGAAGTTAAAGGTTCATCGGAAGGACACATTTCAGAACTTGTTTTGGACGTTTTCTCAGTTTGCTTTAACTGCAGAACAAATATAAGTACGAGGGAAACTACCAGAACTTAGAGGAGCAGGGTGTTCTTCTACACATTTTGTTGAGTGCAGGATAAAGGCAAAAACATCAAATCATCTTTTGTATGTCATGTCCCGACAGTGAGAGTCTCCCACCTGTGAGGTGCACATGTGAACTACCAACTGAGGAAGGTTTCAGAGTGTTCAGGAGTGCATGTGTGAAAAAAGAATTCTTCAATCTGGATGATTGACAGCTGAAAGCCTCACATGTAAAGTGACAAACCTCCTTGTTTACATATGAATCAGCATTCAGTGAATCCTGCTCTCTCCTCTCCTCTCCTCTCCTCTCCTCTCCTCTCCTCTCCTCTCCTCTCCTCTCCTCTCCTCTCCTCTCCTCCTCTCCTCTCCTGTCCTCACCTCTCCTCTCGTGTCCTCCCCTCTCCTCTCCTCTCCTCTCGTGTCATCTTGTCTCCTCTCCTCTCCTCCCCTCCCCTCTCCTCTCCTCTCCTCTCCTCTCCTCTCCTCCCCTCTCCTCTCCTCTCCTCTCCTCTCGTGTCATCTCCTCTCCTCCCCTCTCCTCTCCTCTCCTCTCCTCCCCTCTCCTCTCCTCTCGTGTCCTCCCCTCTCCTCTCCTCTCCTCTCCTCTCCTTTCGTGTCCTCTCCTCTCAAGGGGGGATTTCCCTTTAAAGTTTGGGAATATTCATAAGCTCCCAGAGGTCTGAGAGCTCAGAGATTTAACCTTCCTCACCCCAACAATCCACTGCTGGTCAGTCAGTGAGAACCCTCACTGTGCAGCTGAGCTTTATTCAGACCTGCTTAACTTTATTTAAAACTAGAGAGGACACTGTTTACAAAGATACCAGATGTGTCAGGGGGAAGTTGCTATTAAACCGGAATATCTCTCAAATGTAGGTTATACTGTACATGCGGTGATTCTCTCTCAGAATTTCCTCTTTGTTAAATGTTAAAACTTTCATGCATCAGAGGGTAACTCATGTCTATACGCAGCACACTGAAATAAGAGCAGTCCTGAAACCTGACAGAATGCTGATTTGTTCCCAAACAAAGCTTGACATCGGTCAGTTCGTCTCACAGAACAAGACTCCACACAGACTCGGTTGGTAAACGAACACGAAGCCTGGCAGACTAAAGTGAGTGTGTGGTTTCAGTTTCAGCGTGTACAGGGGGAAACCACAGTCTGCTGCTTTTAGAGTTTGGTGAGACCTGATTGGCCGGCTTTAAAGAAACTCTGTCTTCATCTGACGCTCACTTCCTCCCAGGAAGACGGTCCCCTGCTCTTTGAGAAAGAAGCTCAAACTCGCTCTCCGTCCACATGAAGACGACCTGACGAGTCGTCACTCTGAACACAAACCAGTCGTCGGAGGGGAAACATGTAGCTCAGCTGTCCACGTGCGTACCAGCTGTTTCCGCCGTGTTGGAGGTCTCCATCTGCTCGCCGCTACTGCCTGGAGGAAGTTGGCGTGTTCTAGAGCATGAGTGGCAGTCGACCCCCCCCTGACGGCCGCCAGGGGTCATGTGAGGCCTCGTACCGCTGGCACCATTACAGGAAGCGCTGGCAGCAGTCAGACCCCCAGCAGGCTCCTGAGCGTCCCCTGGACAGGTACAGGTGGAGGACTTCTGCCTGCCTGGCATCGGGGGCAGCAAAGATGGCCGCCCCTGAGGGAAAAGGCCACGACAGAGAGGCTCCTCGTCTGCGGCTGCTTGGGCTCCAGAGGTCCAGCCCGGCCCCAGAGTCCACCTCAGGCCATGAAGAACAATCCAGAACAATGTCTCTACGCAGGATCTTCCCCTACTTCAGGTCCGTGTCTGAACCCGGTGCAGGCGGCGAGTCGGGGAGGAGAGCGCCCTCCGTCAGCAGCTTCATCACCTCGTTCTCCAGGAGGATCAGCAGAGTCCTCAGAGACGAGGCGGAAACTGAAGCAGGAGAGTCCGGTAGGAGTGAAACACTCTTTATTCAGTGTTCAGGGTCAGGTCAGAGAGCGGGGGGGGGTTATATTTTAATATTAGGTTTATATTTATATCAAATGTGTTTGTGCATCAACATTTAAAAAATGAATTCATGAGAAGCTTCAGTTTAGATGGAAGCAATCGATGCATTTACAAGAGGAGTGTACCTTCTCTCTCTCTCTCTCTCTCTCTCTCTCTCTCTCTCTGTCTCTCTCTCTGTCTCTCTCTCTGTCTCCCTCTCTCTCTCTCTCTCTCCCTCTCCCTCTCTCTCTCTCTCCTCTCTCTCTCCCTCTCTCTGTCTCTCTCTCCTCCCTCCCTCCCTCTATCTCTCTCTGCCTCTCTCTCTCTCCCTCTCTCTCTCCCTCTCTCTCTCTCTCCCTCTCTCTCTCTCTGTCTCTCTCTCTGTCTGTCTCTCTCTCCCTCTCTCTCTCCCTCTCTCTCTCCCTCTCTCTCTCTCTCTCTCCCTCTCCCTCTATCTCTCTCTCTCTGTCTCTCTCTCTCCCTCTCTCTCTCTCTCTCTCCCTCTCCCTCTCTCTCTCTCTCCTCTCTCTCTCCCTCTCTCTGTCTCTCTCTCCCTCCCTCCCTCCCTCTATCTCTCTCTGCCTCTCTCTCTCTCCCTCTCTCTCTCCCTCTCTCTCTCTCTCTCTCTCTCTCTCTCTCTCTCTCTCTCCCTCTCCCTCTATCTCTCTCTCTCTGTCTCTCTCTCTCCCTCTCTCTCTCTCTCTCTCTCACCGCCAACTACTGGTCTGGAATGTATACTACAACATTTTTAGTCGATTTTGAAGACAAAATCAAAAATGGTTTCAGTGGATCATCTACTTGGCAGTTTACTTTTTGTCAATGTCTCTGTTTGTCTGAGTTTTTCTTCGAGCTGATTGAGAGCTCAGAACCAGAAAACATTTAACTCAGACTGTGAAACGCTCAGCCGAGCAGCCAGTTTGAAGGTTAAGTTATGATAATTGAATTTTCCACTAGGACATCATGGCATGACGTGCAGACCTAATGCTGTGAGCCCCGCGATAATGAATGTGTGTTTTCATGCAGAACTGACAACTGATGCAGCACAGAGAGGGGAGACGCCGCCTCTGGATCCACATTTTTACTCTTTAATGACTGAAACTCATTTTATTGTCTCCACCGTCAGAACCAAATCTAAAATACAGAACACGTTTTCACAGCATCAAGAAAGTTGGGGATTTTTAACCAAGTCTGTACGTGTTATACTTTGATGGTCCTGGAGAGACCCACTTTTGGGTCCCGACCCAGCAGTTGAGAACCACTGCTGTAAGAAGTTTGTGTAGTCAGTGTGAAACTGCAGCCAACAGAGAACTACTATGAATGTTTCCAGCAGGCCTGGAGCATGCTGGGTAGTAAAACCACAGAGCTCTCACTTCTCTACACACACACACACACACACACACACACACACACACACACACACACACACAGACACACAGACACACAGACACACACACACACACACACACACACACACACACACACAGAGGCCTGATTCAGGAGGTTCATTTTCATACAATTTCCATGTGAAAATGAACCTCCTCTGCTAATTGGAGGCTAATTAACCCAAATGTGTGTGTGTTTTTATGCACACTGTGTGTGTGTGTCTGTGTTTTTAATGTGTGTGTGCGGGTGTATGTGAGGCTGTCCCACAGACCAGGGCAGACAGCGCCTACATACCAAAGGAGGCGTGCGTGTGTTTGTGTGTGTGTGTGTCTTCCTTTTGTATGTAAATTGCCCCTTCACAATAAGAGCCCCTGTAGTAACAAAAGGAGCTCATTAACCTTTCAGAGCTCCGTGGTGGGAAAGTTCAGGCCTGCGTCCAGCGGCGGCCATGTTGGTTCACTTTAACACAGATATGTTTGTTTTATTTTTGTTTTTGGCGTCTACCCAGAACTTCCCTCCACGAGCAGAAACGTGCTCAAACTAGGATCAATATTGGAGATGCTTTTGAAAAATGGAGAGAGGTTAGAACACAGAAAGGTTTACAGACCCATGCAGAGCTGGATAAACACTGAAGCTTCAGAGTCCACCACATGGTGACCTGAGTGAGCATGGACTCTAGAGAGGAGGGGGGGAGACAGCTCTCTATAATGTTTAGAATTTAAACTGCAGTACTCATTTTCAACACTAGGGATTCTGATTATTTGAATCTGGAGTCCTAATAAAACCTTAACACACTAGATTTATGAGATTGTTTTGCCGGGTACTCCGTCTTCCTCCCACAGTCCAAAGACATGCTCGTTAGGTTAACTGGTGACTCTAAATTGTCTGTAGGTGTGAATGTGAGTGTGGCTGGTTGCCCCATGATTAACTGGCGACCAGTCCAGGGTGTAATCCCGCCTCTCGCCCAATGACAGCTGGGATAGGCTCCAGCCCCCGTCAACCCTGAGAGGGAAAAGCGGTAAAGATAATGGATGGATGGATGTATCTGGTTTAGTTAATAAGGAGGCAGAGGTCTCAAAAATTGTGAATCAAATACAATTCATTCGGCTCTACCGGGTTAAACCTACGACCTTGTCAGCCTGATCTGAGGTGACACCACTCTCCACCTTTTGGCCCCTGAGACCCCACCCCCTTTAACCTCTGCAGGCGGGCTGCTGCCATGATTGACACTTGTGAGAGAATCTGCTTTGTAAATGCAAATGTCGGAGAGGCAGCTGAAGTCAGCCTGTTTAAATATTAAAGAGAGATAAGTCACCTCTACAAAGAGCCGCCATGACGGAGCACGCAGAAATCATTACTACACTCTGCAAATGATTAACGGACGCTTGATTAGAGTCGTAAAGATCTGAAGAATAGATGGTTAATTTAAAAGCTGTAGTTTTTACAGAATCTTTCTCACCTGCCTCCTCGATCTGAACTTCAGCAGAATCATTCCTTTGACTTTATTTTTAACCTCTTTTTTTGCAGTGTATTTAAATCTGTTGTTTCTAAGAAGTCAGAGTTCTGCAGCCTGAGTAACATACGTAGAGGTCAGGGGTGTTTCTAGAAGGGTTGGCATGGGCCCCCCTTGAAATCTTATTGGCTCCCCCCTTATCCTTAACTATGACTGGTTATCTGCCTTGCCAGAGGTTGAACTCTACCATTCAGGCAGCTCACAGTTCTGTGTGCAGATGTTTGATGGCATTCATTTAAATACTTTGAAGGAAGTTTGTGCGACTTTTTGATCCAGTAGATGTCGCCCTTGAGCACCAGAACTAAACCAAAACAAACTGCTGTTTGGCCACGCCTCCTCCATCCTGAAGCCTCCGCTCTCCTCCAGAGACACACCTCCAACCCCTCTCCACTCACACTCACATGAAGGAGTTTAGCGCAAGCGGCGGACAAAATGTGTCCTTTGCTCAAGCTGTAATCACCTGTGTCCTGTGTTGTGGTGTTAGCATGCTAATGTTAGCGCTCTTTAGTTAGCTTGTAGCTTCACATTGTTGTGTTAGCATGCTAATGTTAGCGCTCTTTAGTTAGCTTGTAGCTTCACATTGTTGTGTTAGCATGCTAATGTTAGCGCTCTTTAGTTAGCTTGTAGCTTCACATTGTTGTGTTAGCATGCTAATGTTAGCGCTCTTTAGTTAGCTTGTAGCTTCACATTGTTGTGTTAGCATGCTAATGTTAGCGCTCTTTAGTTAGCTTGTAGCTTCACATTGTTGTGTTAGCATGCTAATGTTAGCGCTCTTTAGTTAGCTCGTAGCTTCACATTGTTGTGTTAGCATGCTAATGTTAGCGCTCTTTAGTTAGCTCGTAGCTTCACATTGTTGTGTTAGCATGCTAATGTTAGCGCTCTTTAGTTAGCTCGTAGCTTCACATTTCATGTAAACTGACACAGAATGAGCGTGATCTAAAAACTCTTACTAACATCCAAATAATCAGTGAGTATGTTCTTCTTCTTCTCTCTAGTTCTTGACTAAAACAGCTTTTATACACAAGGGGAGGAGCCGGCCGTCCCGTCCATGTAAACACGGCTCTGACAACAACACAGCCAGCGGGACTCGAGCTTCTCCCTCATTGTAGACATTGTGATTCTGTAGCTTTGATATAAAGACAAATATTCTCATTATAGCGTTGTTTCGAGGCCCTTTGCTGCATCATCACCGACTCTCTACTCCTAACACTTCCTGTCACTCTTCAGCTGTCATTTGTAATAAAGGCAAAACTTTCCTTTAATTTGAACTTGATTTAATTTAACACCTCAGTATCTAAAAGGAACAGAACCTTTAAAGAAAGTTTGGTCTGTGAGCTGGTTTATGACATCGGAAAAATAACAAATAGAAGTATAAAGAAACGTCTGCCTGAACTTTTATCCTCCGGTTTAAAAAAGAAGATAGTTCCTAAATATTTGACGTGACTCTCCATCCCCCCGTGAGTCATGAGCTTGAGCAGAGTAGCATTAAAAACCCGGCGACCTCCAGAAAGGAAGAAAACAAGAAGTCCCAAAGTGTCCCTTTAAGTGGCATGTTGGGGCGTTACCAGAATAGTGTCAACGTTTCTGTGTGAGCGGGCTGAGTGCTGAACCTGTCCTCTCCAGAGAGCCGAGCTGCAGCCTTCAGCCACAATCACTGACTTATTCTACCTGCAGAATCATCACAGACTGAACTCTGACTTATTCTACCTGCAGAATCATCACAGACTGAACTCTGACTTATTCTACCTGCAGAATCATCACAGACTGAACTCTGACTTATTCTACCTGCAGAATCATCACAGACTGAACTCTGACTTATTCTACCTGCAGAATCATCACAGACTGAACTCTGACTTATTCTACCTGCAGAATTTCAGAAACCCGCTCTCACCTTAGACTTTTATTGGTTTAAAATTGTTGTTCACACATGCACCTCACAGCCGGAGATTATCCCTGTCAGACAGGAGGGGGGCGGGGGGTCTCCTGAGGTAAGACTTGAAAAAAACATTAGAGAGTAGAGGTGGCGTGCAGACAGTCTATGGTCGTGCAGCGATCACAGGGAATCAAC